GTGGATTTAGCACACCCTTTCTTTGGATAGTTAATCACGCTTATTTCCTTCATCTCTTGCGTTGCTTAAGAAAGTCTGGGTCGCAACATACATGGAATGTATTATTTAATTCTTTGGAAAGGTTGCACTTCGGAAGCTTAGACGATGAACATATATAAAGACTAATGTGTGAACTTACTTTGAATCGTCCTGTGTAACCTGCAATTATTGATGCCTATTTTATTTTAGTCCCACGTAAGTTATGAGTAACTATCATTTACGGCATCAGCACGTAAGCTAGACAGGCCTTGGATGACTTTCGAAGAACATCACATACGATCTCACACAATCTGGTTACCCGAGACCAAGATATCTTGATTATCGAATCGTACTTTTCAGTGCTTTCTCGTAACAGATTTATATTAGTACTTATTTCTGCTATTGGGTATTTTTGCAAGAACACCGGCAGCCAAATCATTGTAACGCTACACAAGAGGTAGTAAAGCTATCTTAGCTTGGTCTCTGTTAAAATCTTCACATAATTATACCTCTTCCTCATGATTATGATTTATTTCCTGCAATATAATAATTTGGTGGCTAATATATCTAACTGTAGAAGATGATATTAACATATTGGTATGTGTTATTATCATCTATAGCATATACATAATATTTACAACACTCACGACACCTAATGTTTTCACTATCAAACTATTTCTGCCATGAAAGTCAAACAGAACAGTGAAACTCAGCAAAAATTTTGATAAAGACGGGAAAAAAGATAAATCTTGCCATTGTATCGTTACTTGTAACGCAGTTTTGGTAGCCTTGACGACAACACAATACAATACAATATATTCAGTGACTTGGTTTTATTCACATTAATAACTGTCGGGCTCGTTATATTCTTGTTCTGTCTAGATATTAGGCGGTCCATAATAAAGTGCCTCATTGGTGGGCGGGAGTTCAAGGAAATGTTGAAGGTCTTTAACAATGAGAGTAATACCACCTGATACTGATATTGTTAACAATGCACCTTTAGTGGGAACCGACGAACTGGATAAAACCATCACCGTTCCAAATAGTCCGAATGTCCTGAGGAATGAAAAATGGACTACGGTACGTAGGAAAAGAAACAAAAGGAAAAAAGTTGTAGGCAGTACACAGGTAGTTGGTAATTCACTGATGGAGTCTCATTGTGAGTCGCAAACTGTACTACCAAGTAAAGCTTCGTCTAACACTGTTGTGAGTCACTCACAGGACTCTGTTACAATAAAGCTAATCGTAAGATATCAGTAGTTAATATACAGGATCTATCGTCACGGTCGAAAGCTGTTAACACAGTTTCAAAGGAAGCTAAACCCCTTCCTAGTTTAATTATTTGGAATCTAGAGGAGTCGGAAGACAACGACCCTGCTAGAAGACATGCACATGACCTGCAGTTAGTGGAGTCTGTGGTAAGAAATGTACTACCTGAAGAGGTTCCAGGGGTACATATTATAAAAGTAACACGACTTGGTAAATGGGTTGGAGGCGGGACCCAACCAAGAAGAATCCTGAAGCTGGTTCTCGGGAGTTTCGAAGAAGGAGACATATTATTGAAAAACACACCAGAAACTCGTGACTCAAATATCCGTATTCGACCAGATTGGCCGCTTGAGGATCGAATCAAGTGGAAGAATGCTCTTATGGAGTCGAGGAATTGCAAGTTAAATGGCGAAAATAACCTTACCATTAAGGGTTTTCGGGTAGTCAGGTCTTGGAAGCCAATGCTTCCGAGGCCTGTATGGGTAGAACGATTGATTGCCAAAACACCTTAAGTGTGTGCTACACGAACGCTCGTAGTCTTAGAAATAAAACGTCCGAGCTAAGTCTGATGGTGGAAGAATTATGTCCCGATATAATCGTTGTTACAGAAACTTGGTTCACAGTAGATATAGACTGTTCTCTGTTCATTGCAGGCTATATCTGTATTAGAAGTGATAGAGTTTCAAGTCGCAAAGGGGGAGGTATAATATTATACGTTAGGGATCACTTTCGTATACAATCAACCATATCGGAGGCTCATATCAGTGGCACATGTGAGGTTGCATGTTGTAAGATTAAATCTAGAAGTGGGTTAGTGACTATAGGGGGGATACACCGTAGTCCGTTTTCTCTTGCTGACGACTTTATCCTAAGACACATCTGTTATTGGAGTATGGCAGAATGTTGTCTCATCATTGGGGACTTCAACGCACCGCATATCAGCTGGATAGAGCTTACAGCTCCAGGTAGTGGTTTCGATAGCGACCTTTTATCTACCGTTATTCAGTGTGCACTTGTACAATGTATCACGAAACCGACACATATTGATTTCAATCATGATCCGTCACTGCTGGACCTCGCCGTCGCCCACCACTGTGAGGATGTCTTTGATATTCAGCACCTTCCCTCACTAGTGAACAGTGATCACGTTGTAATTCACTTTAAGTTTAGGACACATGGTATACAATTCGTATCTGCTCCACCCCGTCCCAATATCTGGCGAGCCAATATTCTGGCGATCAGAAACTGTGCTATCTCGACTGATTGGTCGGTCGACGCGAATCGATTGATCGAAGATGAATGGAATAAGTTTAAGGCTACATTCGAGTCCGTAACGTCGCCGTATATCCCATGATCAGCACGTAAGCTATCAAATCGCCCTCCATGGATTAATAAGGAAACCCGGAAGCTGTTAAAGCGTAGGAAACATTTCTGGGACTTATTCTTGTTGACAGGTCATGAACCATTTAAGCGTGAGTACCGAAAATTCCGTAATATCTGTAAGAAAACCATAGCCAAATCTCGTACCACTTACGAACGACAGTTAGTATATGACAGTCGTACTTGTCCGAAACGATTGTTTTCGTATGTTAAACGGCGGACGAAACGTAGTGATGGTATTCCCCCGTTACTGTTACACGAAAATCCAGAAGCACTAGCTGAATCAGATCGAGCAAAAGCTGGTACTTTTTCAAACTATTTTAGCGAAGTCTTCTCCACGTTTATTTTAACAAATACTTGTCCCACTCACACCGAGATACCAACCATGGAATTTGTACAGGTGACTGAGGAAACTGTCCTTCCGTTGATAACTAAACTCAAACCTGGTAAGACACCGGGCCCTACGGGTACATCCACGGTTGCTGTCATCTCTCGAGGACATTATTTCCAAACTGCTCGCGAAACTCTTCAACATGTCCCTTTCACTCGCCCAACACCCTAGAGATTGGAAGGACGCTATAGTCAGTCCTATATTCAAGGACGGTCAGAGACATATAGTATCTAACTACCGGCCTGTTAGTCTAACTAGTATAGTCGTTAAGTTACTTGAAAAGATAATTCGGGTTAGGTTGCTAAGCCACATAGATTTACACAATCTGTTGGCTCCTGAGCAACACGGATTTCGTAACAAGCGTTCATGCTTGACTAACTTGCTTATTGCGAGGGAGGATTGGACAGCAGCCCTAGATAACGGTCTGTCTGTTGACGTGATATTCATAGATTTTAGCAAAGCGTTTGACAAGGTTTCACACGTAGGTCTTATGCAGAAGCTCACGAGCTTCGGAATAATAGGTACTGTACATGCGTGGATAGGAAATTTCTTATGTGGCCGCAGACAGAGAGTGAGGGTTAACGGAACAGTATCCGATTGGAAGCCGGTCAAAAGTGGTGTACCTCAAGGCACCATCTTAGACCCCCTGCTCTTCCTTCTCTACATTAATGAGTTACCGCTGTTACTTAAGTCGTCGACATTATTGTTTGCGGATGATGTAAAAATCTGGAGAACAATAAAAAGTGCGGCTGATCATCTGGATCTTCAAGCTGATTTAGACGATTTAGTTAGATGGGCTCGAGAGTGGGGCTTAGAAATCAGTGCTCGGAAGAGTGTGCTAATGCACATCGGTCACGGTAATAGTTACCGTTGCACTATTGAGGGTAAACCTCTTCCATGCGTTCAAGAGCATAAAGACTTAGGAGTAGTATTAAGTCATGATTTAAAAACAACTACGCATTGCAAAGCAGCCGCTGTCGAAGGTCTTCGTCCGTTATGGTCACTTCGCCGAGCGCTCAAATCTTTTGACGAGGAAACGTTTCGAACTTTATATCCCACCTATGTAAGACCACACTTAGAGTACTGTATCCAAGCAGCTAGCCCGTGTCTGGTAAAGAATACTAACTCCCTTGAGCGTGTCCAGCGTGCGGGAACGAAATAAGTGAAGGGTCTTTCTAGATTCCCTTACGATGAGCGTTTAAAACGCCTAAATCTTTTCCCCTTGTCGTATCGTAGGACACGAGGTGACCTTATACTGGCATTTTGTATCTTTAATTATGATTTGGGTGTTAATATGTCTTATCTTCTTGCTCCCTCCAGCACTAATAATCTCCGCGGTCATAGCAAGAAAGTTCATAAACCAAGATCTAATAAACTAAAAGTGGGGTCCCATTTTTCTCATCGAGTAGTCAATGATTGGAACGCCCTACCAGAACAAGTGGTATCAGTCCCATCAGTGAATACTTTCAAAGAGAAGCTGGACCTTCACTGGAAAGCAGTGCCTCAGGATTAATACAGGTTCATCAACCTACTATCCTTATTACTGAAGACTGAAGACTGGGTTGTTTATTCCGAAGGACTTTAGTTTGACGAGTAGCCTTTTGTGTGGGACCTTATCAAAGGCTTTCTTAAAGTGTAAAAATAGGACTGATACAAGGAGTCCGCTGTCTCATTTCAGAGTTATATCATTCAGGTAGTCTACTAGGCATGTGTCGCATGATCTGGACCTAATAAATCCATGCTGGGAGGTCGAGACGAGATTATTAGTAAGTAGATGTTGGACTACAGCCGCCTTTATTTCTTTTTCCATCACTCTGGATACCACTAAAGTTATGTTTATGGGCCTGTAATTTTCAACATTTGCTTCAGGTCCTGTTTTAATTTTCGGAATGATATGTGTAGTTTCCCAGGCAGTAGGGTAACACGCTGTAGAGAGTGATATCGCGAATATTTTGAGAAGCAAAACACACATATCATCATCTCCACGTTTTAGCATGCTAGATGGAATACCATCTGGTCCATCAGTGTAGGAGTGTTTCAATGTACTAATTGCTTTGGAGATATTTTGTACATTGAATTCTACATTGTCCAAGCTCTAGACATTCAATAAATGATTCATTACGTCTCGGCGCTTTGACTGGGAGTCGAGAAACGTCGGGCATATTGAAGTCACCACAAATAAGCTTGCCTGTGAATGGGAGGGATGATGCTAGTGTGAATACCTCCGATAATACTGCTGTTTCGTCTACTGATACGTTAGGTTAACGATAGACACAGTCGAGCAGTAAGCTGACGGAATTCACTCTTACATGTTTCCCTATTCTGTATCGTGAGTCTTGTCTTATTATTGTTATTATTATCATCAGCTTTTTTCAATATTATATTTGTGGTAGTATATAGAATTCTCAGCGCAAAGTGTTTCAACAAGTTTCCGTTTCTTTCTTCTTGGTCGGTCCTGGCGATAGATATCGAGTGATCACCAGTTAGATGTTAGCAGTTCAGTAAATGAACATCTGAATAATGTGCATTATTTTCGTTGTATATTGCCAGCAACCACATTGTCTCTGATGATAATAATAATAATAATAATAAGACAAGACTGACGATACTGAATAGGGAAACACATAAGATTGAACTCAACTGCTCTATAAGTATCCCAAGAACGTTGAACGGGTTCTCCCCACTGCTATCATATAACTTGCCTTCAACACCTCGAAGTTGCGAAATGGGTGGTGGGCTTCAGCGTAACAAGCCTTCTTACACGCAGCCTAAACTCATTAATAACAATGGTAATAATAGGTTTCTCACTCCACACCCTATCTACATTCCCCAGGATCACAACTGTCATTGCTCTAAGAAAGAAACTTTTCACACCCTTTAGTACCAAGTTATCACATAAAAACGGCTCGCATGTGTAATAACAGTCGCAACTTCTTCCAGTTACGCGCAGCAGACCTCTGTCACGCTAACGTAACTAGCCATAACAGAGGCTACCAGTCTAACCATCAAGACTATTTTGCAAATAACCATACACTTCACAGTAGGCCTGTACAAGAATTTTTTGGAATACGACTCCTAGTGACACCTCTGTTGAAGCATATAGCCCAAGTTATTTCAAACCACATGCAAACCATGAATTTGTTTCCTCCGTACAGTTTCCATCAGAGAGTACTCCGACCATTTCCCCTTGGGTAAACTCCCCAATCAACTTCACTAGCTCATTTGATACATCTCCCACTAAGTCTAGCTATCAAAATACCGAGCTAATGAAGAACATTCAGTCCCTCACTTCAAACTCATCTCACACCCGCGAGGGTTACGACGACTTTATCCGAGATACTCTCACCCATAGCAGTATTATAGGAGGTATTCACACTAGCATCATCCCTCCCATTCACAGGCAAGCTTATTTGTGGTGACTTCAATATGCCCGAAGTTTCTTGGCTCCACTTGTTTTAGTGCTTTCTAACTGCGAATATTGTCTGTAACACGGAAAAGACAGTAAATATGTATTCTCCACTTTGCTCAGTGTGCTTTTTGCAGTAGTTGGTTTTTTCTTCCACTTTTCGACTGTTCATTAAAAAAATACTTGAAAGTCAATGGGAGTTACTAGTTGTATAAATGATGTAAATATCGATTGCACTGTCCTGACATTTATATAGTAGGTAAGTACCTCGAGCAAGGAAAAGTAAATGGGGTATATGTATATGTGTAATAATCATGCTTTAGACATGTATTCAGTGAATGTATTTTCTAAATGTTACTTGAAACTACTGTGAGATTGGGTGAATGAATGAACAAAGCATTTGATTGTTGCACTGACCGACTGAAATTCAAATTGTATGGATGAAGTATCAGTTTCTTCAATAATGCAAAATACGTATTTTATAGAAGTTGGAATATTTGACATTCAGGTATTGCAGTGTCGGAGTTTTTAAATCTTACCCACTTTGATTTAAGGGACCAGGAATTATCACTAGCTCTAATTTCGAAAATGTGTTTAAATACCAGGTAAATGAACGGTATATTTAGTTAATGCACCGTTCGGATCTTTATAGATAATCATATGTGCCATTACTCGCTTTTGTTTTTTACTGTATAGATATATTGACCTAGTGAATCACTACAATGCATTGTCTCATGATTCTCCAGTATTTGCCAATCTAGTTTTTTGGCGTTGTCAACAGTTATGTCATGTGAAATATAGACGTGCACTATGGGGTGAACATCAACAAGTTTTAAATTCACTTCATATTGTTTTAAATCAGGCTAGTTGTTAAGTCTGTTTTCTATTTGCTTTTTGTTTTGTTTTGTTTTACCTCTGATCTCTATTTCTTCATTATTTGAATATGTCATGCTTATCTCAATTTAATTGTATGTTATTATTGGGTGTGTTGACATGAACTTGTAATGTGACATATATTCTAATAGTTCTATTCAGGTTTTGTACATTCATTGAATTTCTGTTTAGATGTGACGGTTTTTCGAATTGTTATATTCTCTTAGTTTTCCTTTCAATTGTTGGCAGTTATTGTGAACTTAGCTTTTATTTAGGTTATCTTATGTTGGTAAATAATCTAAGAGATATTCTTCTTTTAATCATATAGATAGGCGCTTTCAACGCTACAGAACATTTTACACGAAATGAAGTTTGTTCATATTTAGCCTATATTTTATAATAATAGTAAAAATAGACTGATGAATTACAGTTGTAAACATATTGGGATGATTTAGAGAGCAACTAATATAAAGGAATTAGATTTCTCCCCATTGCAAAAGTCAGTTGGCTATCTGAACTGATTAGCTAAGTAGACAACGTGATGGTGTTTGAAGCGAATGGTTCTAATCTCGGGGTAAACATTAACTGTGGGATGCAGGTAAATCTAGTTGGTGAGTCCCAAATAGGACGTAACACGCTTTCTGGATTTCACTCCTGGTTACTATCCATCCCTGTTTAAAAATGCTTATGAATTGCTGACATTATCAAAGCAATCCTCACAGAATGGACACTTATCAACTGTAGTTGTAAACATCAAAAAGTGACCAACGACATTATCCGCTTGTTCAATGCAATGCAGGCAAAATGAGCCTTAGTTTTAAGACTGACTAACTTTCCGGAAGTTGGACGCCTTAACTACTATGTCACTTTCATACTCATAGTTCATCCTAAAGAGAGCAAGAACAAAGATTCCTTGTTTTGAAATTTATTCTGCCATGGATATCACTAAATCCTTATTTCCGAATTTTTATTATTTCTATTCATAATTCGTATAAATATAGGTTGTTATTATTTTATTTTATTTGGATACATGAATATTGGTGCAAGAGAGCGCCAATTTTATGCGCCACACAAATCAATGAAAATTCGAGAGGAATACAATGAAAGAAAAAAAGCTAAGGAGCGCAACAAAAAAAAGAGAGAACAATAACGAAGAGATTGGTGTAAGGTAATGTGCTAGTAATCAGGGAACGCAAAGGTAAAATCGGGAGAAATCTTTCAGGTAAGGGAGACATAACCACTTTTTATGAAGAAAGTAAAAGAAGGTTAGAGCAGGATCGCCACTGGCTTCTATTCTGAGCCATATCTGATAACATCTCTAGCCACTGTGTAGCACTATCTCTCAGACCCCAACCAGGGAGTCGTGAAGGACCAACACAAGCCAGTCCTATGCAGCTTTCTTTCATGCCACGACACCATGTCATGCACTGACCACCTCTCCACTTCTTCCAACCAGTCCCAGAGTCGGCAAATAATGCACGACGTGGAATTCTCTGGGACGACATTCGGAGAACATGTCCAAGCCACCGAAATCGGTGTTTCAAGATGGTGACACCAATTGGATTATCATCTCTGTGCCCGAACACACGATGCCGAACCTCTGCATTACTGACATGGTGTTGCCACTGAATGTCAGCAATCTTTCGGAGACAGCGATGATCGAACACAGAGAGTCGTCTAACGTCCTCAACTCGGAGAGACCAGGTTTCACAAGCATAGAGCAAAACTGCTCTCACCGACGCGTTGCAGATCCCACCTTTTACAGCCAGACTAACATCACGAAGGCGCCAAAGGTGGCCCAGATTGGCATAAGCCGCTGTGGCTTTCACTATACGTGCATTGATCTCATCACTCACACCCTCCACCAGCACTTATGCAGCTACCCAGATACACGAACTTCTCGACTACGTCTATCTCCTCACCATCCAGGGTGAGTACAGGATTGGAATCCTGCCAGTCTTGTAGGAGTACTTTGCACTTCGAAGGTGCAAAGCACATACCATACCTACGGACACTTATTGCCAACTGATTAAGTGCGGATTGCATTCCTTGGGCATTATCGCACAGTAAGACAATATCGTCCGCATACTCAAGTTCGAGAAGTCTTTCTCCAGGCAACAGATCCACACCACCATTACTTACATTCATCAGAGCTGTTTCCAGAATGTCATCGATGGCAACGTTGAAGAGGAATGGTGAGATTGGGCAACTCTGCCTGACCCCACTGCTCGAATGGAACAATGGAGAGAGGTGGTTGTATGCCCTCACTCTGCCTGAGGTGTTTGTATGTAGGGCTTTTAGGATGTTAATAAACTTCTCAGACACACCCTTCTTCAATAGACAATCCCAGAGAACAGTCCTGTCCAACGAATCGAAGGCAGCCCTGATGTCAAGAAACACTACGATTGTTGGCCTTTGATAAGTATGGCGGTGTTCTAACATTTGGCAGAGGGTGAAGATATGATCAATACATCCTCAACCAGAACGAAACCCAGCCTGCTCCTCGCCAGTCAATCTTTCTCGGGTTTTGAACAACCTACGAAGTATGACGGAAGACAATAGCTTGGACGCAATCGGAAGTAGACTTATCCACCGATAGTTGTTACAGGAACAACGTGAACCTTTTTTAAAGATAGGGACAACTATCGACTCATTCCATGACGTTGGCACACTCTCTAGTTCCCAAACCTTTGTAAACAACGTCGTTAATTCCTTAGTCAGAAAGTCACCACGATCTTTAAAAAGAGCCGGAGGTAAGTCATCTGGGCCAGGTGATTTGTAACGCTTCAAGAGTTGGAGTTCCTTGCGGACTTCCTCCTCGTTTGGTGGATCAGTCGTCACCGGCCATGGAGGGCAGGACAGTCTGACCGATGTTGCCGGAGCAGCAGGCCAGTTGAACTGCCCTTCGAAGAATTCTGCCCACCGTCCAAGACGTTGATGGATGTTAGTGATTGGCATCCCATCATTCTCGCAGATTGTTTCACTCACACCAGACTTCTTGCTGCCAGTGGCTCGGATCTAAATCATCATCATCATCATCTAAATCATCATCATCATCATCATCATCATCACCATCATCTCAAACATCATCATCTAAATCATCATCTTCTTAATCAACATCACCATCTAAATCCTCTTCATAATCATCCTCATATCTTTCTTCAGAAATACACAATGATTTGATTTCCTTTGTACAGATCTTTTCTCTTTACTATAATAATAATAAATTATAATTATCAGTTTTTACTTGTTCTCACGTTTCTTGTGGCTCCGTTTAAGAACGGGTCTCTACTTGTAAAACTTGAACATTTTGTAGATATTATTTACGGGTTGCGAATTATAATTAAATCATAGAACAGAAATTATTCGTTTTGTTGATTTAAATATGTCAGATAAAAAGAAATAGGAAGACCAATTGGCTATTGAATGGAGATAGATGTATCCAGTTGTATTAAGGATCTAGACAATTTATACAAATATCCGTTGATATTTGAACGAATGGTTTGCCAGAAATTAGGCTGCGACTATAGAGAAAACAATTTTCTGTGATAATTTTTTATTGTATTACACTGAAGAAGTTCAGATAAGTTTTCTGGATGAAACATTGAAATTATTTTGATTTCATTCGCTGAGAATAATTTTGCTTATAACCTAGAAACGATAGTTTTCAAAATATATTAGGGATTTAGTCAGTCAGTTAGCTACAACGTAGGACCATACACATAGATGCATCGTTCCAGGTTGCCATATCACATTAGCACAGCAAGATGAACACCGGATTCATAGTAGTGGTTATGTTAATAGTGGTAATATATAAGAGGAAGAGTGCGTATAATGACATAGTACGGGAAGAAAGAATTTGTTCGTAGAAAGAAAGATACTTACCCGGTGATCTCAGCAGATGTGAGCAATATGTCTAAGGCATCTGTGGTCAAATACTAGTAGCTTAGCGGTTACTTGTATATAGTTTATATCAGAGGACATGAAGTAGTTTATATGGTTGAGTATTGACAGATTAGTTATATGAATTTTAAAGAAAAAAACAGAATGTCATGGGAACAGGTTTATATTGAGGAATATGAACTACAATGAAAATAGACTGTTTGGATAAATGGAGGTCAGATAATAATGAAACACGGGGAAAGAGGTTAATATAACTGAAAGCATGGGTATTAAAAACTGAGGTAACCGGACCAAAGTAATATCGACAACTGTCCAGTATCTTATCGAATGAATAAATTTAGTTTCAGCAAAGTATAACAACATTTGAAGTCATTTTCTCACAGTTTCTCTTGAAATGATACCATTACATCCAAAATGATCAGCGACTGGACAGCTTAGAAAACCCGTTTGTTTAGCCTATTCGTATCATATATCTTTCTAAGCAGTTAGTGCATGTTGTGAAGCCTACTGTCACACCGTTTGATGCTGACACACTTTTGTATATGATCTCGACTACTTAGGAGGAAGGACGGAAGGTAGGAAACTAAGTTTATTTGAGTAAATATGTATGTGGCGAGACTCTAATTCACAGACGAGCCAATCAGATGCCTGTTAGAGATTTAAAGGTGACGGCGCAAACTTTAGTGCTTTGTGCTAACGTACGGTCGGTTCACAGGGAATTTTGTACAAAACATGATAATTGAGCGGCTATAACAAATAAAACGGCGGGACTATAATTTGTGGACGAATCAATCAGGTATAAGATAATAGATCTAGGATGTTAACGCGAAAGCCTGTCTTCCATTTGGCTAAATGAATTTCTGGCATTATAGCTGATGTCAGTTAGTGATGAAAACCCCATATATAATTCCTCACTACGGCGAATTACGACAATTATTGCGAACTGGATAATAAAAGCACCAGTAACACTGTCTGCAGCCAGGTACTACAATATATCCGGATGTTTGGAGAGTGTACAGACTCCTACATAGGCTTGGTTATGTTCATCGTGTCGTTATCCACAAGTAGCATTTTGTGTACTCAACAACCGAGGTGCAC